GCTGCTGGCTCACGTTCAGCCGCCTGTCGACCAACACCCCCAGGTCCTTTTCTGCCGGGCAGAATATTATTATGAATATTATTAATTAATATGAATATTATTCAGAATATTATTCTGAATAACCTGTATGTTTTAAGCCTCATAAACTTCCTGACTCTTAAGGTTGTTTTATTTATTTTTCTCTTTTCCACTTATTGTAGCTGACTTTACTGAGATTGTGAAGGTGGGAGTGGGCATGACAAGCAGATTTAAAAGCAAAGGAAGTGCGTGTTCATAAAGCAGATAAATCCATCCTGAGCCTCCTTTCCAGTGGAGGGTTTGGATCATTAAAGAAAGCATAATTTGCTTGAGAAGGTGATGTGATAAATCAGAGGTAAAAAGCCTGTGAAGGGCTGTTGAATGCAGTAATGCAAATACAGTCTTCATCTCAGGATGTTTCTCAAAGCTGGAAGGTACATGAGAAGTATCTCAACATGCCCTAGACGTGTCTGAGAGGTCACTGTCAGAGGCAGGATGCTGGGTTAGAACTTTGGTCCAGTGCAGAACAGCAGTCCTGCTTTGTTTTTTCATTACTGTACTGTCCTGTAACAGGCATCTAATATTGACGATGTCCTGAGCCACCACACAAGCTTCCTGGATAACTGCTTGAAGGACTGCATGCTAACCAACCCAGAGCTGCTGAAGATCTTCTCCAAGCTGATGTCTGTCTGTGTCATGTTCACAAACTGCATGCAGGTACGTGCAGCCTCCCCTGTGCCACTGCCAGCTGCTTTGGGTGCCAACCAGCTATGACAGCCCTTTTTCACAACTCAACCCCTCTTGTCCTCGATGCATGTGGAAGAGCCTCTGTTCCTCCCGCCAGCAGGCTTTAGAGCTTGACAGCTCAGACCCTCATCCTTTCTCCCAAATGGTTTCTGTGGTTTCTCCCACCACAAAATTCTCTATGCTCTTCTTTTTCGGTGTTGGGATCAGGTTCATATGAACTGAATTACTTCGCTTCAGCCAGTCCTGCAGCAGAATTTGAGGTGTAAGTTGTAGGGCTCTGTAGTTTTTAGCACGCTCTTTTGAGGATTAGGTGAGGAGTGGTGATTGCACCCATGGAGACTGATCTCTAGCCAGCATCTCAGGGACCCCATAGCTTTAAAAAAAACACACCTTCCTTTGGGTTTAGGGACCTTTGTGTATTAACGTTGTAAATTTAATCTCAGAGTTAGCTTTCATGGGAGTTAGTTAGCTGCAGGGCTAGCAGAACTGAGTCAGCCTTGTGCTTTGCCATAATTGAAAAAATAGGATCTAAGCATTTCCCTAACCTTCTGCCCTCCCAAGAGGTTCACCCAGAGCATGAAGCTGGATAACGAGATGGACCGGTTCACCTTAGAGCATGGCACGATGCTGGGCCCACCGACAGAGGAGGAGCGTGCTGAAGAGACTGCAAAGAAGAAGCTGACTAGTAAGGTGGGACATGGGATGGACAGCTGAGTCCTTTCTGCTGTGAATGCTGTCTGGGGTTGCAGTCTGGTCAGAGCGGCTGTCCTACCTCTTGCAGATAGATCTTCCTAGTTTCCAGAGCACCTCTGGCCCCAAAAGCAGAATCTTTGCATAATTGTGGGTATTTCTGAGGGCAGTGTGGAGCGCTGATGGTGGTCTCAAGGTCTGCTTCGAAGAACTTGTCTCCCACAGCGGTCCCTGCACTTGTTTTTAGGTTCTTAGCTCTATTTTCAGCTGTGCAGTGGGTACCCCAATACAGGCTTCCTGCAACTCAAGAACTTTCTGGTTTCCAGAACTAGCATTTGGTGACAGATGAGCCAATAAGCTGTCAGGCATGACTGTTTCCAGCCTGTCCCTTTCATATCTGGAGTATTTGTCTTGTCCATAGTTCTCTGTTGAGATGCACATGTACTGAGTGATTTGTTTGGCATGCTCTGTGGTTAGCAGGCTGCCTCCTGTCCCACTGAAAGCCCCTCTCTGGCACACAGCTGGTAGGGTCCATCACACTGCAAGGCAATCAGAGTGCTCCAGACGTTACAACCTATCTTAGGCAACACTCACTTTCTGCTTATTGGCTTTTCCTCCTGCTTGAAGATAAATAACAGCAGCATATATTTGAGGATAACTCTAGTGGGATCTACTCTGGGTTCTCCAAGGTAGGCATGACAAGGTTTTTAACTATGAAGGACCTTGCAACTGTTCTGAAGGATTTAATTTAGTGGCTGAGCAACCGTTAAGTTTTATGGCAGTATTTCTGAGCAGGTTGGGAAATAGGGAAGGAATAATTGCATCTCTTCGGCAAGTGTGAATCAGCAAACACATGGGGCCACTGTCGCTTTGTCTTGATAGCTTTTAGCAGAGCATGCTGACAACCTCCACCTGACATCTGGCTTCGAAGCAACGATCAACAAGTTTGATAGCAATTTCTCAACACATCTGCTCGACCTGTTGGACAAACTGAGCGTTTACAGCACCAATGACTGTGAGCACAGCATGCTCAACATCATCTACAGGTGAGCCAGTACTTTTTTCTCTGTAACTTCCCCTCCCGTGGTTTCCAAATTCAGCTCAGGAAGAATAATTGCTGTTTATAACTGTGCATGTCTGCCCCATCAATGAAAACGCTGAAATCACAAGAAATATTGCTTTGCATTTCAACCCAAGGCTTTAAAAAAACCCAATCACATTCCTTTGAATTACCTACAATTTGTCTATTAATGTTGTAAATGTAATGGAAGTGTTAGTTTTCCTGGGGATTGTCTCCCTGTGTAGACAGTGAGTAAGCTGATTCCTGAATACAGCGTCAGTATTCCAAGATGAGAAAACCGTGCAAGGGATTGATCATAAGTGGCTATTTTGTTTTAAGTTCACATCTTGTATGTATTTAAATAACCATCCCTTAATATGTTTTCATTGTGGCTTCATCCGTACTTACTAGCTTCTTAGGAAGTCAAAATTCCCCCAGTAATACCTTAAAGTCAAGTATACAAGATACACTGCATGAAGAGAGAGACAGAGATAAGGAGATCTGGGTTTTGCTGCTCGGTTTATAACCTCTGTGTTTCTGTTTCAATAAAATGAGTTGCACAAGGTCTTCTTTGGAAAGATTAACATTTGGTTTCGCTATAAGAGTCATACCTATTAGCATTGCTGGTCTTTTTAACCAGGTTATAGATTGGTGTAGCATGGGGGGACCTTCCCTGGTACTTCTAGCTTTGAAGAACCACTGATAATGCCCTAGGAGCATTATCCCCAGCTGAGCACACGTGCTGTGCAAGCAGAATGCTGCTCACTCTGATCCTGCTACCACTTCTTTAGGAGCAAAACAGAAATAACTGCAACTGCGGAGTTTGCTGCTGGGAGCAGATTTTAGTGTTTGTGGCTGGAATATGTTTTTCAAGAGTTAAGCACACATGAAGCCTAGCAGCGTGCAGATTGCAAACGTTCAGCTGAGGCATGCATACAACGACAGAATAAGAAGGCAAGTGAGGTTCAGGGGCTGACATCTCTTAATTCAAAGAGTCACCTTGGTGGAAGTCACATGTAAGAGCTGCTGGTCGCCAGCTGCCTCACACCTGGCAAAGACTGTAACACTTCAAAAATGCTGCTTGCAGACCGTTGGGCACATGCAAAAAACAATTCGTTTTTACAGTGACTTACTTCTTCCAGTGAAGAGGCAGGATATAAAGTGCATATAGACATAGTTAAAAGAGGCTAGGATTGTCGTGAATATAAAATATTTCAACACCAAGACTTTTTTAAGGGTTTGCTCTGTGTCTGTAAGCCCAATAGACACACTTGCACTGTTATGGTGCATGTGAGCCTAGAACACTTGAGACTTACCTTAATTGTCGTTGCTGTCAGCTGGGGCACGGAAAACAAAGCCATCCTAAATCTCCGTTAGTTTCTTCATGCTGTCTGTAAGCTGGCGTGTAGCCTTATTTTCACGTGTAAGCAATTGTAAACAGCTCTTACAAGACTAGCCAGAAGTTAAGGTCATTTTAAGATGTTGATTGTTTGTTTTCATCTTTTTCTGAGGAAAGCCCTTGGTTTACCAAGGAGTACTCCCTAATTTTAAGAATGTTTTTCATCTAAAGTTGCAATGCTTTTTAATGGTAGAGATGCTAGAATCAATTGTTGGTGATATGTAATTTTGTTCATAAACAGGCCTGATAACTGGTTAATGACATACATTTTCTTTCTTCCCTTGGTGCTGTAGGGATTCGTGCCCCAACCCCTTTGATATTTAGTATAGCACAGTAGATCCTTACTGAGTTCTTTTTAACCACATATGACTAAAGAGTACTTTGAGCTGTCTCCTAACTGTGCTTTGTCCTCTGTTTTAAGTGTAGTCTTATTGCTCCTCTGCTTTGTTTGGTCTTTATGAACTGTACTTTTTGTTGGTCAATTCTCATCCTTTAACTTAATCTTCAGGAAAACCATAAGGATATTAACCTGCAACCATTAAGTTCTGTTCGCTGCCCTTCTGTACCAGATGTCTTTTATGGCTGGCTGATAACCCTTACACCCTGAAAACAGAGAGAGAAAAAGTTTCTGGAATGTTTTTTTTGAGGCAGGTTCTTGTCTCCTCCTCATGTTGTGTCTCTTGAAGCTTTCATTGTCCTTTTCTAACAGCATCTGACAGGGCCGTCCAGGATTCCTGGTACCAACCTTTGCAAACACTGTTTTGTGAAGTATTCCAGCAGGAGACTGGGCTTCCAGTTGTCCTTTACTTCTGAGAACTTCTTGACCATACGTTACACAGCCCCTGGCCTCCTGCTGCTCTGTCTGAGATGTGGTCACATAGCTGAAACCAAGGTTGAACACTAAAACCTGTCATCCCTGTTACCAGGGGTCCTTCCAGGAGCTCCACCATCATCCTTGACAGGCTGCAGGGGGAATCTCTGCTCCACCATCATCTAGCCCACCAGCTCCCTCAGCACTGTAGAGAATTACGTGTCTTGCCTTCCTTGTAGGATTGTGTTCTTCATGTGAGGAGGGCAGGGATACTCATAGGCATCTGAAAGGAAATGCAGTGCCACAGAACTGCTTGCTGCTCTGACCTCTCCTGCTTCCATTCCCTCTCAGGGTAGGAGCTGATCTTCCTGCCACCAGAACTGCCCTCGTTGGTTGATACTTAGTCCCTGAAATAGGAAGGTAGGTGAGGACCTCTTCTCCACGGTCCTAACAACTCTGATTCACTCCATCTCTGAAGTGACCAGAGTCTGAGGTCTCCTCATCTTGGAAATTCTTCCAAGACTTTTTTTGGCTGTGAGTGGAGGCCCCAACTGTACAAATGATGGCTGTTCCTTTCAGGACTAACCAGGACAGCTAAGTCTCTGTAAAACCTTTTAGAAAATGATGGTGCAGCATATCAAGGCCTTCTGGACACTTTATATCAACCTTGATCTGCCTGGGCATCACTATTTACCATCGTTGGACTGTTGTAGATTGCAGGCAGGATCCACCTGTAGAAAAAAATGTCAGGCCAAAGGGATTAAGCTCTTACACTGCCCTTGCTGCCATCACTCCTAGGTGTCACAGGAGCATACAGAGTCAGGCTAGATTCAGGGATCGAGACCAGAAGCAGTTGAGTCATCCAGGCAAGAACATCTACTCCTCCTCAGTGCTGCAGCCCTGCCTCTTTCTTTATCAAGTGCTTACATTTTTATCATTACCAGTACAAGTTCTAACAGACAGGCTTTTTTGGGATGCTTCATCCAGGAGATCTTAATGGCAGCTAACTCCATGATCCAGCCTTGGACATCATTGCAGGTGGCACAGGGCATGGCCAACTGTGATGGGTTGACCCTGGCTGGAGGCCA